TATATTTAATGCTCATCTTGCATTGAGACACTTTCGGTTTTCAAAGGTTCAAGTCCCGCTTGACCTGTTGCTGCCTAAAAGTATGCAAGACTCGAAATGCTTAAGCAAGAACAATTTAGAAAATACCAAGATAATCGGAAAACGAAAGAAAGCAGAAGAGAAAGAGAGAGAGACAGAGTGAGAGAGGGAGAGAGGAGGACGAGCAGCACGAGAGAGAACGGAGTCCGGAGGAACAGAGTGGAGGAAAGAAATATAGTGGAAAAGGAAGAATGGGAGAGTGAGAGAAGAGGAGAAAGAGAATGGGTCTGTGAGAGTAAGTCAGGAGCAGGAGGAGGAGGAGCATGAGAAACAGAGAAAGAGAGAGCGAGAGAGAGAATAGTTCGGCAGGAATAGAGTTAGTGAAAGAAATATAGTGGGAAAGGAAAAGTGGGAAAGAGAGAGAGAGAGAGAGACAGAGAGTCAGACATTTTGAAGAAATGAGTTAGAGAAAGAAAGATAGCTTGAAATGGAGAGCGATAGAAATAAAGCCATGGAGGAAAAGAGAAGAGACGAAAGAGACTGTGAAATGGTGAAAGTCAAAAGAGTCCGACAGGAGAAACAGTGTTAGAGTAAGAAGCAAAGAGGGAAAGAGACAGAGATAGGGGGAGAGAGATAGAGATAGAAAGCGAAAAAGATGGAAATAGAGAAAGATATTTAGACAGACAGAGAGAGAGAGAGAGAGAGGGAGATTTAGAAACAAGCCTACCTTATGCTATGCTTACAAATAATAAACGCATCTTGTATAATCTTAAATTCTTCTTACTCGCTCTCCCTTTATATTTTTTAATATAAGAGCTGTGATTTATAGTATCACTTCAATATTTTTGCTTCAATAATACCAAAGTAATTGTATATCAGAGCCCTTTTAGTATCGCTCACAATAATTATTATTTATGGGGTATACTTCAACCCCACAAAGTACAAAGTCAAACTCAGCTGAGGATTGTAAAATCATTCCGCGAATCGAAGTTCTGTAAAAATATACAGATCTTAAACCCAAAAGGGAGACGATTAACTCAGCTAAAGTCGACATACATTTATGTACATATATAAGTTGTATATGTATGCATATAGCTATCAATAAGTTGGACCCATCTAGTTTACTGTATTCAGTGGAATTAAATCTTTAGGTTTTCTTGGTAAACTCAAGCGTAAATAAAGGGAATCGAGTTAAAATTGAAATGATTTAAAAAACAGGAAATATGATTAAAATAAATCTTGAGCAGGGAAAAAAGTAATTCACTCTATATAGTAAAAATGAAAGAAGTAATTCGAGCTCGAAATGCTTGAAAACTGGTAAGCTGGCACGTTTCCGAAAGATATCGGACACTACATTTATATGATCTGAAATTTATACAAATCTTAAGTATATGGTAGATAGAAATAATAAAGCACTATTTGCCAAGTTCTTCGACTTTAAATATAATTTATATTTCTTGTCTTCTTCTTCTTCAACTCCTTCAATCCACCCTCGCTTAACAATTTTGTGGGTCATAACTGTGTACATACATATATAAGATAGCTTAGAAGAATCTTCAATAGATGGCGACACAGTTCGCATAAATCATTTAGTCGTATGCAACACTATTTAACAGTGTGCAACAATTGTTGAATTTGCACCGATTGCTCAAACGCTTGCGCCTTTGACTGACAACAGGTAGACGACATTCCAAAGGCCAAGAGCAGCGCCACCTGTGAGAATCCACTAGCTGCTTACGCAACAGCAGCGGTAGCTAACCAGCTTCTCGGTCGCTCAGTCGCTCAGTTGCCCAATTCGTCAGTTGCTCAKTCTCTCCTGATTGTGTAAAAGGGTCGCGGCGCTGTTGCGCACTGGCGGGGCATTTAATTTGAGTGACGCCTCGACAGGCCCCTGACCGAGGGACCCGTTGGCCGAGCCGAGCCATTGGGGGCGACATCTCGACATGCTTTGCTGCCGCCGCGACGACTCTGACTCTGACTCATCCATGGCGTTGCCTGTGAAGCGAACGTCAAGAGTCTCGAGAAGCAGTTACTCATGCTTAACTCAACCCCTTAACACTTATGTGGCCCACTCGAGTCGCATTTGAATATGTGAAATTAATGGCCGTTGTGCGGTTGGCGTAACCTCAAGTGAAACTTGAATTGTTTAACTTGCAGTTAAATCAATTGCAAAATTATTCAACCAGCTGCAATAAGAAGTCACTTGCAAAAGAATATTTTTCTCATTCTTTTATTTATTTTATTTTAGCTACATTCATACATATACATAGATTTTCTTATTATTACGTGCCCTACCTTCTGACCGCTTTATTATGAGCAGTTGACATTATCTTTATAATAAATTTTGTTTAAACAATAGAATGATAACACACTCGATGTGTGTGCGCGTCGGGGTCGCTTCAACTCTCTGCGACAGCCTAAGGGTTAAGTGCTGAGAGCCGAAGTTAGAAATGTAAAGCAGCGCAAGCGACAACAGCAGCTACACATGTATGTATGTAAGTGTGTGTGTGTGTGTGTTGGCTTGCCGAATGCATCGACACTAAACATGATCGCTGTCTCTGTCTGCGTCTGTGTGCAAGTGTGCGGGAGGAAGGGGTTGCACATATAATAGCGCGTGCGCGCATGTGTGTGTGTGTGAGAGCAATTGAAAGAGAGCGAGCGACGAGCGACTATTTGACAGTTGACTCGCATCAATTAAAAGCGCATAACAGATAAAATGAAATGAAATGAAAACTGTTTTTTTTTTCTCTCGTGTTTATGTGTATTTTTCGTGTCTTTGATTCTGTCGACGTTGTTGAAAAACATAAAAAATAAATGATGATGCAGCAATATAGTAATAATAACAAACAACGCGATAAACGCGTGTGATAGTGAATGGGAATAAACTAAAACGACGGAGAGTGTGTGTGAGATAGAGAGAGAGAGAGAGAGATAGCGACCAGCAAACTGACAAAGCAAAAGAAATGCCGCAACAAGTGGAAATGAAAAGCAGCAAGCGAAGCAGCAGCGAAATCAACGACAACAATAATAAACAGCACATTTCCAATCAGAACGAGGCGACACAGTCGCAGCTGCGCAGTAAGCGCAGTCGCCAGCTGCAGCCCCAGCAGCATATCTATGAGAATCTGCCASCGTCGGCGTCGGCGTCGGCATCGTCGCAGCAGCTGCGCAAATACTTTCGCCGCGAGGTGATTTACGAAAATCTGTGCCACGGCTGCGGCTATGGCGTCTTTGCAGCACAAGGTCGCTATTGCCACTTCTGCCAGTGCATTGTGAGCGGCAGCGTCGTCGCAGCGCTGCAGCAACAACAGCCTCAGCCGCTGTCTGCGTCGAGCGGCAGCGAATGCAATATTTATGAGAACATTTGCGAGCTCTGCCGGGGCATCTACAGCGACAGCGAGCCATGCGCGTGTCTAAGAAGTGCCACGCCCACAGGCGCAACGGCAGCTCCGATTGAAAATACGTCGCTGCCGCAGCCGCAGCCGCCGCCAGCTGCGACGCCAGCGACTGCCAAGGCCGGCAAATCACGGACTCTGCTCGGCTACTCCAAGTCCAGCGCAGCGACGCTGACGCGCCTCTTTGGCTCGCTGAAGCAGCTGAATCGCTCCGGCTCGCTGCAGCGACGCCTCTTCCAAAAGGAGGTGGTGGGCGGTGGGAAGGTCGGTGGCGTCGGCGGCGGCGGCTCATTAGAAATCATTCACAACGTGGGCGAAGTGTTCCGCACGCAGGAGACGTTCGATATGCAGCGCATCTGCGAGCTGAAGCGCCAGCTGCAGTGCAGTCGCAGCGATCAGCACATCTACGGCAGGCTGCGCAGCGAACGGGAGCCTGAACCAGAGCCGCTGCCTCAGTCGCAGTCGCAGCCGGAACCGGAGCCGGAACCAGAGCAAGACAGACAGACAGAGGGCGCAAGCGCAGCGGAGCAGACGCGCAAAAAGCCGCGCATATCGCGCATGCGTCTGCTGCGTCAAGACGAGCAGCAGTTAAACTGCCAGGCAGCAGCAGCAGCTGCAGCAGCGCCGTCGACGTCTGCAGCTCTATTTTTGAATGAAAGCATTTGCCAGTGGATGAGCGCGCTGCGACGCGAGCTGCACAGCTACGAGGATGCCAACGGCGGCATTGGCTGCCAGCAGCCCAAAAGCGTGCCGCCGGCCTATGAGAGGGAGCGAGAGCGCGAACAAGTGGCTGAACCTGTGACGCTGCGACGCAGCGAGGCAGCGGCAGCCGCAGCGGCAGAGGCAGAGCCGGCAGCGCAGCAGCGTTTGGTGAGCGATTTTAAGCGCAAACTGTTGGCCAAGCCACATTTCCAATTAGACGCCCAATTGGAAAGCCAATTAGCGCAAAACGGGCCGCCGCATGGCGATGTGCAGCTAGACGATCGACGTCGGCGTCGCTGCGGCATCAATGAACGGCACGATGCAGCCTTTGTTAGTGAGTTTCTCAGCGGTTTGGCGGTCACTGAGTGCGCCAGGCCAGCGACAGAGACAGAGCTCGAAATAACTGTTACAACAACGCCGACAATGTGCAAAGCAGCGGCAGCGCTGCTCGCTGGTTGCTTGTCGCTGCCTCAGCTGTGGCAGACGACTGCGCTTGCGGCCAGCTTGCATCGCAGCGTCATTTTCTACTGCGGCTATGACAAATTGCTGAGCGCCTTTTTGCAGCGACGACAGCGACTGCGCAGCGATAGCATTGAGCGCTGGCTACGTCGCTATCGCCGCTACTGTGAGAGCGACAACAACAACAACAATATCGCCGAGTGTGAGTCAGCGTCGAGACAACAGCAGCAGCAACAGCAACGGCAACAGCGTCGGCAGCGGCGACGCCTATTGGGGCCGCCGACATTGGAGCTGCCAGTTGTGTTAGCGACGCCACCGAGTGACGACGTTGCTGCGGCCACATGGCATGTCGGCAGCATTAGCCAAGCGCTAGAATCGTGCGGGCGAGAGAGCGTGAGCGTGAACTCGAGCGCGATCGTGAGCGTAAGCGTGTGTGAGAGCGAGCAAGAGACGCGATCGGTGTGCGCCAGCAGCGACGACGGCGTCGTTGTTGGCAGAGCGCTGATGGCGGCACCCAGGCAGAGTGTCGTGACAGAGCGCTCCAGCAGTGACGACAGTGAAAACAATAGCAGCAACAATAATAATAATATCAACAACAACAACAACAACAACAACAACARCAGCAGCAGCAGCAGCAGTAACAATAGCGACAATAATAATAAGGAGTGTGACAATGTTAACCAACATCAACAACAACAGCAACAACAACAACAACAACAACCAACAATAACACAGGTCAATAGCCATTCCAAGCAAACAGATTTACAACAAATTACAAATTATAAAAATAAATGAAAATAACGAACAACAACAATTTGGGCTCACTGCCAGCTGCAATTGAGGCGTAAATTAATATAGCAATACAACGGTAGTTGCGCTAAGTGAGCGCGCGAGCGCGTGAGAGAGAGAGAGGGTGACAGAGAGGGGCATAGATAGAGGGCGCAGAGCGCTGTGAGTGTGAGCAGAGCAAACGAAGAGCGTAAAGAGAGCAAGTTAACGGGCAGCGGAGCTGCAAAATGTGTAGCGAAAAGGAACAAACAACAGAAGGGAATGTGTGAGGGAGAGGGAGAGAGTGATAGAGGGGTAAAACAAGGCAAAGCTGTTTTATTTATATTATATTGAAAGCTTCTTAAAGAGTCTTGAATTGAATTGCTTTGAGATGTGTGCAAATTAGTTTTAT